AATATTCCTAGCCGGGCTCACCTGGGACGCAAGCACAGGGCATTTGGGAGCATCCTGAGACAAGCAATATCTTGAAAAACTGGTTAAGTGACATTATGTGTTTGTGTCGCCAGAAACTGTCAAACTCAGTCTGAAAGGACACGGACCTGTCTACTGATTTCGATCTTTAATCTTCTTTTGTATTTTTAATTCTTTGAGGATCTTTTCAAATTTACAGACCCTTTCCAGGAGAGCACACACTTGCATGTGACATTGTTTTGCATTCAATCTTAGGACCTGAAGGTATCTTTGTTAGTTATAACAACAATGAACATTAATTATCTCACATGGTCTCTCTGGCTGAGAAATTCAGCAGCACCTCACCTGGATATTGGGGCACAGAGTCTCCCAGGAGATGGCAGCCCAGATGTCCTCTGGGACTGCTGTCATCTGAAGGCTTGACGGGAGCCCGAGGTGGCTGAGTGACATGCAAGGTAGTGGCAGCTTAGTGCTAGCTGTGAGCAAGAGACTGTGTGTGGACCTCCCTTTTAGGCTGCTTTGGTGTCCCCACTACGGCATGTAGCGTTTCGCACTCCTCAGGGTGTGTGATCTGAAAGAGCAAGGAGAAACCTCAGTGTCTCCCTGTGGCCTGCCGTTGAAGTCCCTCACCACTGTGGCTGCGTTTCCCATTGACCACCCAGGTCAGACTGCTCAGTGCGTAGGGCAAGGATGGGTGGGGTAGTGCAGGGTACCTCTGTGTGTTCGCTGACTCAGACTCCTGACCTGTGGCCAGGGGTTTCTATATGGAGTTTCATTCCATGAGCACGATTGATTAAATCATTGGCCATTGATGATCACACTCAGTTTCCAGACCCCCCCTCCTGTCCCTGGAGGTCTGGGGTGGGGCTGAAAGTTGTAGCCCTCTAAGTACGGCCAGGTCTTCCCATGAAACCAGATAAGGGCTCACCTTGAATCGTCACATTAGCATAATTCTCTGGTATGGCCCAAAGAGGCTCATTATATATACGAGGAGGCTCTTGTCATTTAGGAAATTCCAAGAGATTTAAGAGCTCACGGCCAGGAACCAGGAACAAAACATATATAGTTATTATAGTACAGTAGTGAGTGCGGAGGAAATTTTACACAGCCATCACACATTGCATTTATTTTTGGTTTTTTTTTTTTTTTTTCTAGTTATAAAACTAGGCCATATTCCTTGCAGAGGATTAAGAGAGGAAGTAAAATATAACGAAGAAAATAAAAGTTATTTGCTGTCGTATCACCTAGTATGTTATTTCTATTCCTTTTTACATAATTATATGTATAACACTTTGGTCTGTCTTTTTCCATTACAGAAGTAGTATTTGCTTATTGCAAAGTAGCCCAGAGAGGACAGAATGTGTAAAGGTAGTTATTTTTTGAAAAAGTGACCCTTGCCCAGGAACAGCCTTCTCCTGTTGTACGCTGAGAGGAAGATGGATGCCCTGGGTAGGCCAGAACCTGGTCAATTTGAGGGCGATGGAGGTCAGGACAGCAGGGTAGAACCAGCAGAGGGGACACAGTTAGGGCAGGGTGTGGAAAGGAACTTAAACTCTCAAGAAAGAAGAGTTAATTTTTATTTTTATGTTAAGATCCATTTCCTAAGACTAGCACTATTTTCACAGATCAAAGGCTATAGGATGGGAGGCAAACAAGGAAATACTTAATAAACAGGTACAGGTGAATATATGTGGTTAAAGTACGGTTCTGTATTTATTTACTTGTCAGGGCTGCTTCTGGCTGAACAAGTTATCTTGACCTAGCTGCCCTGGCTCTTTCAGGCCGCTTAGCACTGTTTGCCTCTCCGAGGGCTGGGAAGCGAGGGGGTGGGAAGCCTACGGTCCACCCACAAGTGCATTTGTCAGGTCTGCAAGTAGAGTGCACTTGGGTTAGACACATTATTTTTTTGTTTGTTTGTTTTTCTCCGGTACCGGGAACCAAACTCACGACCTTGCGCTTGCCAGGCAGGCGCTTTTGCCGCTGAGCTAAATCCCCAGCCCCTAGACACATTATTGTATCACAGTGGGCTCTATCTGCTGGGCCTCAGCTCCTTTCTTTGGCCCAGGAAAGGCAAGAGGAGAGTGAAACTTTCCTGAGCCTAATCACTGTAGAATTTCTAGAGGGGAGGAGCTTCAAGCCATTCAGAGCCTTAAGTTAGGGCGTGTTCTTGCATTTGGTCACCTGGCTGGCACTGGCTAGGTGGCGATATCTTAAAACAACAGTTCTTGACCCAGATACACCCAGTTAGAGTCCCTGAGGAGCTTATAAAAATCCTAATGCCCAGGCTGTGCCTCCCATAGGTTGCACTGCGGGAGGGGAGCATAGCAGCCCAGGCACTGTTTATTTTAAAGCTCTCCAAGTGCCTCTGTGATTTCAGTATGGGTGCAGAGCTGGGGAGTTGTTCTTAAAGGAAGACCAGCCTGCCTCCAGCCTTCTTCACGGTGGGTGAGATGTGCTTGTCACTGCTTTGTCATAGGATGCTAAAATGCAAGGCGACCTAAACGGCACGATTGTAGCTAAATTGTTTTCAAAATGTTCTGCATTTCAGAAGTACTGCAGACATTTGATTCAGCTGTCACAGTGTGTGTGTATGTATTTATATATGTTTTTAAATTGTTTTACAAAGTGTACATGTAACTGTTGCACACCAATTTTTAACATACGGAAAACTACTAATGAGTTGTCGTCTCTCTGTGGCTTTAAATATAGTAGTGGATGTCATCAACCAGAGGGTATCAAATTCAGATATGATTTTGTTCTGTTTATTTGTCTCCTCCTCCTGCTTTTTTTTTTTTTTTTCCATTTTTCCTGCTTCTGCTGAAGCAAGTATGGGCTTCTGTGTTCTACTTAGGGAGCAGGGGTTCTACAACAATAACAGTTTATAAAGCACAGGCCTCTTGTATAGCCTGTGGTGTTAAGGTCTGTCATCCTGCAGATTAGATTGGTTTACTTAGGGTACAAACAGCCCTGTGCTGGGCTGGAGCTACCTCCCAAGAGGCTGTGAGCACCCTACCTGTGTGTCAGCTGGATCCACAGCAGATGGGTTTATGCCGGACAGCTTCCCTGCCCTTGCGGTGAAAGGGAGGCTTCTATAGCAGTGAGCTGCAGCTATGGGTGGAGGTGGCCAGCCTTCGATGGCTTCTCTGTCAAGAGGCCCCTCTAATATCTTTGAGCAGTCACTGGCTGAAGCCTGCTGTCTGTGGCTTCAGAGCCGCAGAATGTTCCAGCCAGCTTGGGTCTTAGCTACCAGCTTTCTCTAGAGGATAAATGGTGTGCTAGGCCCTGTGCTGGGGGTTTTAGAGCTATCCTGTTATTTAAACTTTGCTATAACTCTATGAGACATGCATTATTATTCCCATCTTGCACAGGAGGAAACTGAGGCTCAGAGATAATGGTAAGTAACTTAACGCATCCAAGGTCACATCCAATAAGTGACAAAGCCAGTACTGGAACTCATGCTAGCCCTCTCCACACCTTAGAAACCATTTTATGGAGGAGGTCAAGCTCTGGAGAGGAAAAACAGCTTGTCTAAGTTGACACAGCCATTTCTGTGGTGAGCACTAACTTGGTCTTCCTGTTGCACTGCTGTGCCTGGATGCTGCCGAAGGGAGTGCAAAGGGCTGAGGGACCTCCCACTTCTGTGTGGTATAGGCACAGGCAGTGTTGTGCTGGTGTATTTATCCATTTTTTGTTTCTATAACAACATACCTGAGGATGGGTACTTTATTTTAAAAAGAGGGTTGTTTAGCTCCCAGTTTGAGAGACTGAAAGTCCCAAGACCATTGGCCTACATGTTCTCTCTCTTCGGAGGGCCTCCTGGCACATTGCATCAGGGTGGATGGCATCGTGGCAGGAGGGGGTGCAGAGGGCGAGATCACGTGCTCAGACAGGAAGCCGAGTGCAGAGGGTGGTCTTTCTATTTTGTAACAGCCCGCTCTTGTCGAAGCTAAGTCCTGCGGCCAGCATTAACCCCTTTTGTGGGCGGCACCCAGGGACCTCAGTGTCTTGCACCAGGCCCATCTCTTAAAGATTCTGCCACCTGTCACATCACACGAGGAGCAGGCTGCTAGCACGCGAGCCTCTGATTGTACTCGAATAGGGGCAGGTGGGGTAGAGTGAGAACCTGGACTCACGTACTGTGTCTTTGCCCCAGGAAGGGTGACCGTGTGAAGAAGCATAGAGGGAAGGCAGGCAGACCTGACCTTGGTGACCATACCTCAGCCAAAGGTTGGGATAGGGGAGTCACGGGAATGAGAACTGAGGTCTCCTGCCTGTTACAGGTTTTGCTCTGCATGGTCTGTTTTTCTCTTTGGCAGTGGGTGGGCATCTGGGCGACAGGATCTGCTTTGGCCCTTCACATTCCTGTTTCCGTGTGCTCAGCTTAAATTGGCAGGAAGCAGCTTTCAGGAGCTCCGCTCTGCCTCCATTTATGGAAGGAAGAGGCACAAGGAATGCCCCTGGGATGGGGTCGGGGAGTGGCTGCATTTGAAAATGAAGAGTGCGGCCCCCATATAAGGGCTTTCGGGCTCTTTCCAGCAGGGCCACTTATCAAGGAGGTAGCGGTTAACTCAGCCACATCGCCAGGCAGTTGCTTTTGTGTTCATCTGAATCTGTGCCAAGGATTCAACTTTTCCTGCTCATTTTATTAAAAACTTTATAAACAGCATAAATAAGTAGATATAAAACTGCTGCATAAATGACAAACAGAGGGACTCAATGAAATTCACAAGGGTCAGCTGTTGAATAAGTAACAAAACCACGTCCTTGCAAGATCCAGTTCCTATATATGCAAATTAGAGACAGTGCTTTACCAGAGAGTTTTAATTAATATTTATAAATCACAGAGCGCCTCTGAAAGGGCCAGTAAGCTATTTATACTATTATCGTGTCACACAAATAACAAATGCTCTGGAGATTGCTGCCTGTTTTGCATTTTGGTCAGAGAAGTAAACAAGCATGTTGTGTGTGTGTCTCCCCCATAGGTGTGGTGTCAGCACAGCGGCAGGTCACTGTCCAGGAAGGACCCTTATACCGCACAGAGGGCTCGCACATCACCATCTGGTGCAACGTCAGCGGCTATCAAGGATCCTCAGAGCAGCATTTCCAGTGGTCCATTTATCTGCCCTCTGCCCCTGAGCGCGAGGTACAGATTGTCAGTACCACGGACTCTTCCTTCCCATACGCTATCTACACCCAGCGTGTCCGTAGTGGGAAGATCTACGTGGAGAGGATCCAGGGGAACTCTTCCTTACTGCACATCACAGATCTCCAAGCCCGGGATGCGGGGGAGTATGAGTGCCACACGCCCAACACCGAAGAGCGGTACTTTGGGAGTTACAGTGCAAAGATGAACCTAGTGGGTAAGGAGATGCCGTTTCCCTATGTCCAGTGCCAGGCCAGAGTCCCTTCTTTCATAGCGTACCTGTTTTGTACCATGTATTTGACTTAAAAACAAGACAGCAAGACTCGTCAGGTATTATAGAGGCCAACAGGTAGCATAAGTAAACAGACTTTCTATTCTCACCTGTCAATAATAGAAGCCTAGGGCTGGAACGTAAAAAGCTGTAATGTACATATTAAGAACTTCAAAAGTTATTAATGCTCTTGCTGGACAAGGGAAAGACATTTGTGATAATCTGAACAAATGACATGAAAGATAAAGCGTGTAAGATCAGCTGGAGGAGAGGCAAAACCCTACACAGACCAAGGAAAACTGCCCTTCTCACCCCCAAAGGCTGGAGTGAACCAAGGATAGACAAACTAATTGGAGAATAGTTACCCAAATGTGTTAATGTGCGTGGGGGAGAATTGGAAGAGAGTGACTTCCCAGTGATCCAGGGAAGTCCCTGCTTCATAGGGAAGCGGGAGACAAGAAATGCGACAGTTTTGAGGGTGAATGAACTAGCAGTGCTCAGATAATAGCAAATGATGCTCTTCAGAAATTGAATGGACCTAGGAGATGTACAGTTTGTGACAGAATCTGTCCACGTGTGGTTACATCCTTTAATCTTCTTCCCTGTAGACATGAGTTCAGTTAATGAAAACTCCGGGAAGGGAACAAAGGTAATTACTTTCTTCTTTGGCAGGTCTAGTCTTTAGGTAGATGGGGGATATCAGACAAAATCCTCCCAGCATCTGCTGCTCCCCGTGGGCCTTATTTAAAATACTCAGCACACTAGGGCACTGTATTTGGGGTGAGATTCTGTGGACCTCTTCCCCTCTCAGAAGGATGCCCTTTGCACCAGCTCTGAGAGGTATGAGTGCTGCTGAGTCGGGAAGAACAGGTGACCCAGGCTCAGACTTCAGCCCTTTGGCCCCAGGGTAACGAGCTGTGAACTAACTAACCATCTCCCCTGGTGCTCCCTAAATGATGGCGGGAACTCCAGGAGGAGGGCCGAGCTATCATTTGGGCAGCCCTGATCACAGTGTTTGCCGAACTGAAAGGGTTAACAGTATCAAGGCTTTTTTCTTTTTCTGCCTGAGTCTTATTTTCTAGTTTTTATTATCTCGATTAAGCAAGGCATGTTGATGTTTCTTTTTTCTTTCTCTAATAAGCCTATATCCTACCAATGACTCTAAGACTTACTCTTAGGTGAATACAGGGAGAAAATACAGCAGTTGTGACCTGGGTGCCTTGGTCAGACAGATGGGTGGTGGTGTTTAGTCTCCAGAAAGATGTAAAAATCAGGGTAAGTCCCCAACCAGGGGACTACAGGGCACTCTCTTTGCTTGCCTGAGTCCTCCCGTACTGTGGCTTCTTCCAGTGTGGACCACTTTGATGAATTATACAAAATATAACTTATGAAAACAGGGCCACGCATGGTGGCACACGCCTGTAATTGCAGTGCTTGGGAGGCTGAGGCAGGAGGATCCTTGTGAGTTTGAAGCCAGCCTGGGCTACAAAGTGAGCTCAAAGCCAGCCTGAACTGCATAGGGAGACCCTGTCTCAAAAAGACAAAAGGAAAAAAAAAAAGAAAGAAAATAGGGGATGATGATGATTTTCTTTACCAAAAGTACCCCACCCCCACCCCCTGTACCAGGAATTGAACTCATGAACTTGCGCTTGCCAGGCAGGCGCTGTGCCACTGAGCTAAATTCCCAGCCCCTAAAAGTATTTTAAGATTAAAAAAATAACCTTCCAAAGGCAATGTATTGCTGAAGTGAGTTAAAGACTAGGAGGATGGGTGGGAGAGAAGGGAAATAATGAGGAAGTTGTACTGAAATGTGAAGCTAGAAGTTCCAGGAGCCATTTCTCTTTGAAGATCAGCCAGAAGTAAAGTGCAAGTATTTCAGAGCAACACTGAAATCAACCACAAATCTTACTAGGCCTAAAGGAAACTATTCTGACACAGTATTTTCAGGAAGCCTATTTATCAGTTAAACTTTCAAAATGTTTGATCTGAGCATCATTAAAATATCAAACAGATAATTGTAAGTACCAGAAAAAAAACATTAAAACTGCATGATACATTAAAACAACATCTTGCTGTTTACGTGCCTTTTGGGGTTACCTGTCACCCTGAGCTGCCTGTCAGAGCCTGTCCCTGTTGGGGTTGCCTGCAGGGAGTGGGAATCTCGCCTGCCATGGATCTCAGATTCTATGGCTTTGTGACTGTGTGCTCTCGGACATTCTGTGTTGCAGTGATCCCAGACTCCCTGCAGATGACTGCAGTGCCCCAGACTCTGCACAAGGTGGAGCAGGACCCGCTGGAGCTCAGTTGCGAGGTGGTCACGGAAACATTCCAGCACAGCCACCTGTCCGTGGCCTGGCTCCGGCAGAAGGGTGGCGAGAAGCCTGTGGAAGTCATTTCCCTGAGCCGGGACTTTGTGCTGCAGTCCAGCAGTGAATATGCCCAGAGGCAGAGTCTGGGGGAAGTGCGGCTGGACAAGCTGGGGAGGACCACCTTCCGCCTCACCATTTTCCACCTGCAGCCTTCTGACCAGGGCGAGTTCTACTGTGAGGCCGCTGAGTGGATCCAGGATCCTGATGGGTCATGGTATGCCATGACCCAGAAGCGCTCTGAGGGTGCCGTGGTCAACGTCCAGCCCACTGGTCAGTCTTTCTGAACTTCTTGTTCCTCCTCTACTTACCAGATGGGAGGGCGGTCAGACACCTAGAGGGTTTGCAGACACCACCTTTGGTGACCGATAGTATAGAAGGCTGCCGGGTGAAGTTAGAGATGGTCCTGCCTTGAGCCAGAAGACACTTTATAAGATGTACCGGACACAGGTCTCCTAAGACCTGCTCTTCCAGGACATCACAAATGGGTGCTACCCAGACTGAATCCTGCTTATTTTCTTGTTTTCTTTACCTACAGTGTTTTACATCTCTTAAAGTAAGAAATTTATTGAAAAGTTGAGAGATTTCACAGAAACCATTTGTATCTCGTCTCTGGGTTTCCATTCTTATTACTCATAGTCACTGCCCTGTTTGGTAATGTTGCTTCCTGAGGTACCAACCTCGTTTCACTTGTAAAAGAGAGTTGAGATTATGAACCTGCCAGTACAGTTATAAAATGAGGAACTCTAGAAACTTGGGTTGCATTATTATTTTATATTAATATTTCCATAGAAGTATAATCCCCAAAATGCTTTATCACATATGCCACTGCCCCTTAGGATGTCCTTGAGATATGTAGGTAGTGGCATCACCATTTCATGGGAGAGGATGCTGCGTGCAGAGCTTTATGGCAGGGCCCCAGCAAGAGTCACTCTGTTGATAAGCCTGTCCAGAGAGTACCAGGTCCTACCGTAGATGTTTTCTCCAGGGAATACCTGGCTAGAATACTTAAGGAGGCTGAGTAATGTGTTTAGGGCTGGTGGCTTGGAGAGCTACAGTCCACCCTGTAGCTCTCCTTTAGTGTCTCCCATGAGCCCAGACTCCACTCCAAGTTCTCTCTTAAGCTTTCTGAGCTCCAAGTCAGAGCTGACAGTTGTCCTTGCCTTGGTTGGGCTGGAAGGCAGGTTCTCCTTTGGACCAGCAGTCTCTAGCTCTGGAGAGTGGTTGTGGTGCTCTTATTAAGTATACCAAGCGGACCATGAGTCTTTGCTTGTATTGGTGCTTCCCTCTGGTGAGGGTGATGACGATCCTGGTAAGGGAGTACAGGATTGTGGGTTATGATGGGGTCCCCATCTCAGGACATGTTACTTAATCTCCTTGTCCCATTTGCTAGTCAGTTTTATAGGTGTTTGCATGGTGCCTCTGACCTTTAAGACTAATGCTTCAGACTCTTAATAGTATACTCTCAGGGCTTCACCCCAGAAGTCGAGTCAGAGAAGCTGGATTTCCAGTGCACTTCCCAGGTGATTACTTCTGCTGTCTGCATTTTATCCTCAGGACAGCTCTAGAGGAAATAAGGCAGAAGGTATTCTTAGGAAAGCTAAAGGATGTCAATCCTTTACTAGAGGTTTGGATTCTTGGATAAGAAGACTTGATCTGTTCTATAGGATCCAGGACTTTTAGCAGCTTCTGGATCTTCTGGTATTAAGAAGTCTTCTGAAGGAGCTTTATTTCCTATTTATCATTTTCCTTGCTCGATGGTCCAACTTCAAAAGTCTGGACCAAATTTTGAGTCTTAATGCTTTTTAAATTAGGTTGCATCAGTTAATCTTCTTTATTTTAATCTTACCAATTTGGAATTAGGACTTTTTGAATTTACCCTCCAAATGTATCCAAACTAAGCCAGCAAAGGGAAAATGTAATGAAAGGAAAAGGGTGATGACTTTCCTCTGTGTTGATGTTCAAGCTCAGTGGTTGCACCTCCAACTTTACCCTTCCTTTAGTTCATTTTATTTTATTTTATTTTATTTATTTATTTATTTTTTTTTTCCGGTACCGGGAACCGAACTCACGACCTTGTGCTTGCCAGGCAGGCGCTTTTGCCGCTGAGCTAAATCCCCAGCCCCTTTTTAGTTCATTTTAGTGAACAGTCATCAGCCTCTACAGCTCTGAACGTGTGGCGTGGGGCAGTAGGGGCGGCACCAATGAGTAACCTTGCTCCCTGCGCTTGAGGTGCTTGTGGACCTGAGAGCCAGTGGCAAAGTAGGAAGTGCAAAGTGCTGTAATAGCATCTGTAGAGTACTCTGGGAACACAGTAAATATGAAGGTTCTTGCTCTAAGTTTTCCTTGGGTGGGATCGTGGTTGAGGCAAATCCAGTAACTCTCGGACGTCTAATGACTTGAGTGGTCTCAACAATGTTTGATTGTTTGGCAAGCAGAGAAAAGTCAAGCATGACTAGATGCTAAGTTCTGGATTTGAGCTGTGGGAAAGGAAAGCAAGGAAAGGCAGCCAAAGCCCATATATGAGAGGTGGAGCTTGGAGTTCACTCTGTGGACCAGTTTCCCAGCTATTCTTCAAACCATAGCAACCGTTGGAGGTACCTGAGCCCTTGCACCTAGGCTGAGAGCCTGGAGCTGGGACTGGGCCTGGGGCATCAGGGTTCTCTGAACTATGGGAAGAAAGGAGGGGAAAGGACATGTGGGTCCTGCCTGAAAATCTCTGCCTCCCTGTTAGTGGCAGTTCTGGTTGTCCTGTTTTGTAAATTTCAGTGAAAGAATCCATTCTTGGAGATGCTCAGAACCTTTGATCTACAGAACCAGAAAGGAAGAATAAACAAACACAGTGCGAAACACCTAGTGTGTCATTACACGTGGCTGTCTGGATCTTGGGTAGAGACCAAGCCTCCGAGTAAGGAAGGCTCAGGGAAAGCCTCCTGGGTTCAGGAGAGTAGCAGAACTAAGGCCAAATGGGCAGGTCCCAGTGAGAGAGAAGTGCAAAATGGCCAAGCAAGTAGGAGGAGAAGCAGGAGGGCGGGATCTAGGAACCCAAGGGAGGAACAGGGTGCAGAGGTGGGAAACATTGGTGCCATTTGCTAGGTCAGTGATGTATTCCAGAAGAAGGGCCAGAGGCCAAGTTTCAGTGAGCTAAGGAGCAAGGTATAAATCCATTTCCAGTGGATTAGCCAAGGGTAGCCAAGAGCCAAGTGCTCTGCAGGAATGGGGTAACATATCTTCAGCCTGGAGATGTGAAGGCTTCCTGAGCCATGGGTGGACTCGCATGGAATAAGAAGTGTTTTTGGTTGCCAAAAACAGAAAAGCCATAGTTGTGCCAGCCTAGCCAGGGCAAATGGAAAGGTCTGAAGTCTGGGTCATGTTGGCATGGCCACACTGGCATTTAAATGAAAGGAGTGCCTTTTCGCCTTGATGTTGGGTTACAAATTACTATACTTCAGTTGACCCAAGGGCTAATAACAGAGCAGATAACATGGGTGCATCCATCTAGGAGGCTGTGACAGAGGGAAACCTGCTTCTTACAGCCACGTCTCTCAGGTCTGGCCTCTTGGGGTGGCTACCACATGGCAGGAAGCTTGGTAATACAGAGAAGGAGAGAAGGAGTGTGAGGGCTGGTGGTGGAGAGCAGGCGGGTGTGAAGTCGAGCGAGGGCTGGGAGGGGGGAAAAGTGAGGCAACTCACTCATGATTCCTGTGCTTCGTCAGAGAAACAGGATTTTTATCTGCTTGAAGAGTATGTGTGATCCGGAAGTCATGCAACAAGGGTCCTGAAGCCTCTGGAAAATCCTACAAATGCCAAATGGGGAGGGAAGCTGTGACTGAGGCTAATGAATCTGTAGGGAATCGACACATTGCTGTGATGTGATTTCCTCTCAGTGTCTTCTCTGGAGGGACAGAGCTAGAACTGCAAGGAGGGATTTGGGCAGAGGTCACAGCTACTGCCTCCTACAGCCGGCGCTCTGTGGTTCTGTTCCTTTGGACAAAGGTTTCCTTTAATCCTCAACTTCTGTTTCTTTCCTGTCACTTCTGCAGTGGGGTACCCCTGAGATTGGGTAACTGTCTCATAAGTTGATAGTCACCATGCACCATGACCTGGAACACTGTTGGTGACAAGGTTCATGGTGATGGGTCCTTTCTGGGTCTCCCCCTTCTGCTTTGTTCTTTGAAGCATGCTTGGGTTCTTTGATCATTTAGAGGTTGTCTGACCGTCAGCTAAGTGGGTAGCTTCCCACTCCACCCAGCCACTAATAGGTAGGAGGAGACCAGTGAAAAGACACTGCTTTTTATTTTGCCAAGTAATGTTATCAGGGTTTGTCTTATTTGTCTCTTACTTCCAGTATTCACATGGGGGTAGAGAGAGAATTTCAGTATTTTCATTTTTGGGTATTAATTATTAAGATTGGGGTCAGCAACTAGGTCACCGTCACTATGTCTCGTAGAGCTCTATGGGCCAAAGTTCTATAATACGTGCTGAAAGTACTTGTAATCGTGCTGCTTCCGTGGAGTACTAACTAGGTGTATATGTGAAGGTAGAGCTTTGCAATCTGCCATTAAAAAGATAGTAGGAGTTCCTCCTGGGTTTAGGGGACTCATCAAGGACAACATAAGCTTTGAACAGAGCCCTGTTTGCTTTAATGAGGGTAGCACGGTCCTTAGACCAACTCAGCCTAGCAAGGATATTGTGACGTTCAGTGATTTCTCTGGGCTGCAGATAACCTGTGTCGGAGTTGGGGTTTCTCTCAGGATAAATGCTGTGCTGCCCCCTGTAGTTAACATGTTAAAGAAAGGCAAGAGTAGTAGGAATTTGCTGATGCCATTTGGTTAGCTGCAGCCCACTTTCGCCGAGACTGTTTTCATTTTGTTTATTTTCTCAGACAAAGAGTTCACGGTCCGGCTGGAAACAGACAAGCGGCTGCACACGGTGGGCGAGCCAGTGGAGTTCAGATGCATCTTGGAGGCGCAGAACATTCCTGACCGTTACTTTGCTGTCTCCTGGGCCTTCAACAGCTCCCTCATTGCCAGCATGGGGCCTAACGCTGTGCCAATTCTCAACAACGAATTTGCCCACCGGGAAGCCAGGGGACAACTTAAAGTGTCCAAAGAGAGCGACAGTGTCTTTGTGCTGAAAATCTACCACCTCCGCCAGGAAGATAGTGGGAAGTACAACTGTCGTGTGACTGAAAGAGAGAAAACTGTCACTGGGGAGTTCATCGACAAGGAAAGCAAGCGTCCTAAGAACATCCCCATCATTGTCCTCCCCCTCAGTAAGTAAAGAGACGTGTTACCTGCTTGTCCTTCCTTGGTCCCCGAGTCAGTAGCTGGTGTCACTAGAAGAAGTAGGGGGAGTGAGGCAAGCCACGAACTCGGGGTTAAAGCTGGGAGGGAGAGCACTGCTGAGCCTCTTGGCCTTCTCCAGCCCTCCTGCCCGTACTCAGCAGCATGTCAGGTACCCAGAGCATTGGGAGTGTCTCTGGCTGGGGCTAGGTGCTGGCAGACGCAATTGTGAGCAGCTGAGTGTAAACACCAGCGTGCCAGCTTGGTTTGGAAAAAGACCAAGCCCAGAATGCTGGTTGTTCCTATGTGGGAATTAGAAGAAGTAGTTGGAGGCTTGTCTTGAAATCTCTCTTAAGGAGAGCTGGTCTTGTTTGTGAGGATTCTAAATCATAAAATACATTATGAAGAGGGATTTGGTGTCTGGGTTTTTGCAGGAAGAAAGGTGGGCATTTCCCTGATTCTTTTCTCTATTGAAATTGCATTATTAAAAGCAATGGCTTGTAGAGTGTTTACCTAGCATGCTCAAAACCCTAGGTTCCCTTCCAAGCACTGGAAAAAAAAAGTAGTGGGTGGGCTGTGCTGTTTTCCTGGAGCATGCCTTTGAAAGCTTAGGCGGTCTCCGATACTGCTCAGGTGGGGCCTGCTTCCTGGTAAGCTGATGTTATCTGCGTGGGGAGCACCCTTGCTGGGGACTCCAGAGACGACCAGTGTTTGTGCATGTTGCGTTTAAATACCCATAGTGTTACAGTATTCCTATTAATCTCCTTTCTGTCATAGTTCTGTTTTTAGTGAAAAGATAATACAAATTAACAATGCTTTAATTTTAAACAAGGTGGTAAAGTTGTAAAACTAACCTGTAACCTTTTCTCAGATGCTCAGACTGTTCTTTCTCTCAGCCGTGTAATGATTTCCTTTACATTTTCATTTACATTTTTACATATTTAAAATATTTCTCTTCAAGTATGAAAGTCAAAAATAATGACAAGGGACTTTGCCACTCTTTCTTTTCCTATCAACAGGATTAGTTTCTTTCATGCTTTCTTTTAAAAAAAAAAACAAACCTATACACACCCCTAATTACCTTGAAATTCTATGTCTTAGCCTCCCCACCTCACCCGCAATGCCTAGCATGGTGCTTTGCATAGAGTAGGTGCTTGCTGAATATTTATATAATCAAAATTGTTGAGTCGAATGCCCAGCCTCTTTACTATTTTCCTGCTAGTCTGTGCTTGCCTTAACCACGGACTCTCTACTTTAAGATCTGTGACTAATTCCTCATTGTTTTGTAAGGATGGAGTGAAGGGCAGCCATGCCGATTACTCCCTGTATCTTTTGTACTAAAAGATTTCCCCCAAATCCCTTCCAAGAACCTGTTTGATGATCTGTGGCCTGCTATATTGCTTTTCCAGCAGATAACTGGGTAGTTAAAGTCCCCCAGCACCACCAGATCCTGTCCCAAGGCCACTTGGGTAAGTCTACCAAAGAGCGACAACAATCACATCGGGAATGGTGATCATACCTTGGATTTTAATGGTGCCTTTTCTCCGAAGAGCCCAAAATGCTTCTGCATAAATTATTTCCTTCTCTGCTCCCACCTCTCAAATCCCTATAGAGGCCAATGTTATATCCATCCTATGAATAAAGTCAGAGCACCACTCAAGGAAGGGACTGAGCCTGTTGTTGTTACAGTTAGTCCTTGAGCTTGCATTGCATTAGACACATTTGCTTCTAACTCCAAATCCACTGCTGTGTGCTTAGCTTCTGCTACACCGTCAGCCTCTTGATTGGAAATTTTCGTTTGTGAACATGCACTGAGATTCTCATTAGTTCTGTCCTAGTTTTCACTTAATCCAGAGTTTTAACTTGTCGGCTGCCTTTTTACAGGCCTGGGAACCCGTGTACATAGTTATAATATGCAGTGCAGCGCTGGTCTGTGACTGTCTGTGCCTCTCCTGCCAGAGTAGCTCTTCTTCTAACTATGGGGTTTTTCCAGGCTTTCTCCAAAGAGCAGCCCCTAGAATAACAAGTCAGTACTTCCATAAGAGTCTATCAGGTGACCAGAAGGGTGGAAATGATGTCCTGAAGGTCATTATTCTGCATAAAACAAGCAAAAGAGTGTTACCCCTTCGGGCTGAAGTCACCCTTTAACCCCTCAGTGTGAATTGATAGCAGTAGACTGTTTACCCTAAAGAGGAATATTATTATTACTAATGATTATGAAAAACAAGTACCTCATCTAATTCTCTCAATGTTATGATCCTAAGAGGTGGGCACTATCAGTACCTGCATTTCGCACAGGAGAAATTGGAGCTTGGATAGGTAAATAGGAACCTCAGTACCACAGAGTTAGGAGGTAGTAACCTGAGCTCCAAATCCATGCTCTTAACCTCTGATGCTCTAGTTGGGGCTCTGCAGGAGCCTCATCCCCAGGAATCGCTTCAGTAAGACTCCTGGAGAAAGTTGCTCTCCTGGAAGACTGCTATTCCCACCTTGTACAGACCTTATTTTTTACATGAAACAAGCATATCCCAAATGAGTAAAAGCCGTATTCACCATAACTAGAGTTAAATGCTGAGGCTCTTCTAGTATTCACCATAACTAGAGTTAAATGCTGAGGCTCAGTGCTCTTCTTTGTTTCTGCCTGTGGGGGAAATAAAGGGAAGAAAACCTTGATTCATGTGTATGTGTGTGTTTGCTTCAGTAATCAGGTGTGCTTTCTAATTTGGTATTTGATTTCATTGATTGGTTTAAAATTATTGTTATGTATTTTATGTCCAGGAAAGTGGAGCCAAATTAGTTATGGTACTGATCTTTGTGTTCTTTAATACTCAGTGTCCTTTTGAACTCAATATAAGTAATTATGCAAAATAATATATGCATAATTAAGATAGATTCAGATATACATGCAGTTTATAAAAACAAAAGGTTATTGGAGATAGTAAAATTAATCATGACCATGTTGACTACTTTCTGAAATCTTGCTATGTGTTAGGTAATCTCTATACATTGTCTTATTTCCTTTGAAAAATTCCACAGTTCAAAAATAGCATTCTACCTATGTTACAGAAAAGGAGATGGAGGAGTATAAACAGTTCAGTTGAGTGAGATCAGCTACTGAGGTTAGTAGCAAAGGGTAGACTGAGTGGAGGAGGGAGTGGGGTCCTTACTCCAAACTTTGATTCGCAGAATGTTTCAAGGTGGAGAGCAGAGAAATCTCAGGGCTGAGTGAGGACAGACAGGAGAATAGATGATGATGAGCCACTGGCTTTGGTTTATTCTATGTTTATGAAAGTATGAAAACTCATCCCTCACACACTGTGAGAAACCAAGCCATCTGTGTGTCATTATGATCCACACGCAAGCACACAGTCTTCCAAATACTTCCTGGCATCTTTTGTCTTTTTAACGTCCCCCTGAAGGACTCAAAGGATACATTATCGATGTTCAGCTTTTACTAAACTGCTGTAGTACTGAATCGGGGGAAGACTGAGGTGAAGTAGGATCTGGGTGTTACTCATTTTGGTGACACTCCAAGTTGAAAGCTTGAACTAGATAGGCTACTCCATAAATTGTTTTATGTCCTAAGCATCATGTCATTTCTTAGGTTCTGGCTCAGTCTCAGAACCTCATTATCCCAGTCCTCTACGTGCAGTAAAGAGCATCCTAGGTTTCAGATCTAGAATTATGGGGAACAGTGCCTACCACCAGCCAGATCTTGCAACACAAAATGTTAGAGTACTTTTTGTCCTCTGAGCTCACTGTCCATGAATATGGAATATACCTTCTGTTTGCACACATCTGTGGGCAGGGCACCATGGAGACTATGACGCCCCCCAACGTGGCACTCTCTCCTCTCCTCAGAGAGCAGCATCTCCGTGGAAGTAGCCAGCAATGCCAGCGTCATCCTCGAGGGTGAGGACCTGCGCTTCTCCTGCAGTGTCCGCACAGCAGGCAGGCTGCAGGGCCGCTTCTCTGTCATCTGGCAGCTTGTGGACAGGCAGAACCGCCGCAGCAATATCATGTGGCTAGACCGCGATGGCACTGTGCAGCCGGGCTCATCTTACTGGGAGCGCAGCAGCTTTGGAGGCATCCAGATGGAGCAGGTGCAGCCCAACTCCTTCAGCCTGGGCATCTTCAACAGCAGGAAGGAGGACGAGGGCCAGTATGAATGTCATGTGACCGAATGGGTGCGGGCAGTGGATGGTGAGTGGCAGATCGTGGGGGAACGCCGAGCCAGCACTTTCGTCTCCATCACAGCTCTTGGTAAGTAAGAGGTGGGACTGCTCTAAAGGCTGCTCCTGTATTGAACAGCTCACATTGACTTTTATCAGAGTTCTGGTAGGATACCGTGGCACCTTCTAAAGACTGTCATAGAAGAGACTCTCTAGGGTTGTATGGGCAGGGTGAAGAAATCAACAGTGGGTGGTAGAGCACCCAGAACTAATAACTTTGGGAGCTGTTACCATTTCTAGGGCTGAGATTCAAGCTGGATTAGGGCCACCACCCAGCAGGAACAAGGCTACTGTTAAAACTGCTTGGAAGCGAGAGAGCAGAACAGCCAAGTTCTACAGCACCTCCCTCCTGGCCTCCTTGGCCTCCCTGGTCTCCTGCCCACAGCCCAAACCTCCTGAAAGATAGGAAATCAATCCCCTTGCCACTTACTTAGCGTTGGTGTGTTTCTGGCTGAGTCTAAGTACTTGAGTTTATTTGTTCTACTGAAGCTTTACCAAGCCAAGTTTCATTTGACAGGAAACTAGAAAGAATAACTCATTTGCCCAAGATTACAGATTTTAAATGACTAACCCACAGTCTGAGCCCAGGAAACCAGCATTACATCTTAATGTTTTTCAAGGCCTGTGCTTTTATCTGCTCCTCTGTAGGCCCCCTACTTAAGAAATCCATTTCCTTATTAGCATGAAATAAAAAGATACCTTGAGATTTGCTAAAACTAAAAAATATTAGATTTGCTTCTCACGGGGTAGTTAAAAAGGCTTGTGTCAAGTTTTATCTGCCAGATGCAATCAGTATATTAAATTTTAAAAGACCAGTCTGCTACTTTGCTAAGCAGATAACTTGTCATGTCAAGTCTTCTGTTTATCAGGAGGCTGACATCAGTTATCCTCAGCAACATGACATCCCACTCTCGGGGACCGTACCACCCTTTCTCCCAGGTAGAGCTGTGGTACTGTCAGAATGTCCAGTAAAGACAGCAGCCCCCGATGGCTTCGTCTGGGACCAAGTGCTCCACTTTCCCACCCCTCCGAGGTGAGGATTGCATTTGCTCCTTAGAAGCTTAATCCAGAACGAATTTGTTCTTTACAATAATCATGGCTCACATTGTGTCCCTAGCAACTTCCTCTGGCGAGTGCTGCTCCCGATGACTGCAGTCTCTGTGCCCGTGGCGGGCACTAGAGGGGAAAGCGCCGAGGGCCCAGTGTTGCCAGCACTGGCGGTTAGCAGAGTCTGAGGCACGGTGACAGTGGGTCAGAGCCATCTCTGTAGAAGTACTTTTGCCATATGTCATCCTCAGAGCATTTTTATACTTACCATGTCTCGCAGTCCCCACAGCCAACTGTCCTGAGGAGGGCTGTGGTGGGACCCTGGGGCCAGCTCTGCCCCCCTGTTCCTCCCCCAGGACACCTCTGGCTATAGTTAGGGTGGCCCAAAGTGGCAAGCCGGGGGAGAGGCGGAGAGTGCTGGGCTCAGGTTGTCTCTTCCATCCTAAGTGAGCAGCACAAGTTTTCCTGTCAGTGCAGTTGGGCACGGTGTCCGCTCAGGAGGAAGGTGACAAGCGGCATGGCTAAGGTAGCAGGTGGAGCGTCTTCCATAGGCTGCTGTGCCTGTGCGTGTGAACCGGGTCAGATACTTCGCGCACTGTCGTCCGTGGCGAGGACACGGGCCTCGTCAGGTCAGGGGTCCCCGGTGTAGAGAAGCTGTCTCCCCTTGAGGTGTGAGGCAGGAATGTCCTGCGCCGGCCCTGTCCCCAAGGTCCTGGTCTGCCCCTCTTTTGGGGTAACACGTGCCACCTAAAGGTCCCTAAATGACTACGTAATGTTTAAGGATGGACCTCTGAGCCTTCAACATTGTTTTAAGGGTGTTCGTTATGAAATCCAGATTGAAAAGCCTGAGTTTCCAGCACATTTGCCTGACAGCCTCCCGTGGAGAGGAAGAAGGTTCACTGTGTGCCCTGCCTTTCAGCTGTAAAGTTTGCTTTCCTGTGTGTCCATTTTGTTTCTTAAGCAAACATATTTTTAAAAAATGTGTGTCAGATACTATTCCAAGCATTTCGCAGATATGTATTTAATCTTCACAAAGACCCATTTTCCAGATGGGGAAGCAGCAGAAGGAAGTTAGGTCACTTGTTTAACGTCACACAGCTGGGCGGTGTCACAGGCAGACCGCTGAGTGCAGCAGCTGAGCCCTTAGCTGCTGTGCTGCACCTCCCCTGGGGAGAGCAACAGCGAAAGGCCCCGGGGCCAGGGGCGTGCAGCTTTGTAGCCTGACCCTGCGACTTACTAGCTCCTCAGCACGGGACGGTTTATTTCACTCCTCTGTGCCCTGTGCTAAGGAACGGTAAATCTTCTTACCCCACACAGTCGTTTGATTCAGTGAGATGCGGTGAGAGCAGAGTTGGCCCCACGCCTGGCACATACACAGTGCTCAATGAATTCTGGCTGCGACTGGTTTTATGATTTTGTTCAGTGTCCTAATAGAGAATAGTATTTCCAGATTGAAGGAACCCAAGGCTTTGTACGGAGGAGTGAGTGTGTGAGGATTTAGTGATGCTGCCCATTCCATAAGGAATACTGAGTATTCCTTACCACCCACTGAGGCCGCAGAACCCGGAATTATGGACCATTTTCCCCCACCTCAGCGGAGGTCATCTCCTGCTGCAGATCAGTCCCTCCTGCTACGGGTCCCTTACTGCCTGTCTGCCCTGGATTCTGTGGGGGAAGTGAGGAGGGGATGGAAGCCTCCTGCATCTGCTTCCTTCTGTGGCATCCAGACACCAGAAAGCAGGGAAAGGGGCCAGGCTGGTGGCTGTATCCTGGCTTTAGGGCCTTTTTCTCCTGTTTTTGCATGGAATCTCTGGTTTTCTAGACATGGCCCTGGCTACATGTAATCAGCCCCTGAAAGGCCATGGTGTCTGATTCTAGAGGGGGATCTAATGCAGATCCACATGAGGGTCTCACAGGGAGAACTGTCGAGGCCTCCTCCTGTAGGTTTTGGAGACTAAGGAACATGAGCACCAGTATGAAAAGGAAGCTCAAAAGAGCCTTTGGGCCACCACTGTGTACTCTGGCTTTGCCAGTAGCCCTCTTGCTGATGTCGCACTGCCCCAAGAAAGGCAGATGTCCCCTCTGGTTGAATCTCTCTGCTCTCTGTGCAGAAACGGGCTTTGCGGTCACAGCCATCTCCCGGACACCAGGGGTGACCTACAGCGACTCCTTTGACTTGCAGTGCATCATCAAGCCCCACTACCCGGCCCGGGTCCCTGTGTCAGTGACGTGGCGCTTCCAGCCAGTGAGCACTGTCGAGTTCCATGATCTGGTGACCTTCACACGGGATGGAGGGGTCCAGTGGGGGGACAGGTCCTCCTCCTTCCGAACCCGGACTGCTATCGAGAAGGCCGAGTCCAGCAACAATGTCCGCCTGAGCATTAGCCGGGCCAGCGACACAGAGGCAGGCAAGTACCAGTGTGTGGCAGAGCTGTGGCGGAGGAACTACAACAACACCTGGACACGGCTGGCAGAGAGGACCTCGAACCTGCTGGAGATTCGAGTGCTGCAGCCAGGTGGGTGCCGCTGGTGTGAGCGTCTCACTGTTGTAGGACCTGTGGGGGGCTGGTGCTTCCATGACACGGGGCGACGCAGACACATGCTGACGTGACACATTGAGACACCTGTGGGTACGGGCTTACATGGCATTAGGCGACATGTGGAGGGAAAGGGATGCGTGTAGCAAGCCGTATTCTACCCTGCACTTTGAGAAATTTCCATTCAGTAGGAGGTGGTATGAATCGTACGTCAACGTTTGTATTCCCTTCCGCTGATGACCAGTTATTAATGTCTTACCATGCTTGTTTTTTCCTTTTATATTTTTGTTGTTGGTTTTGGACCATTAGAGACCATGTTGTGGACATTAGGACAACCCCCTAAACACTCCACTGCATAACTCTCAAGAGCAGGATATTGTTCTACCCACCCACAGCACCACACTCATACTCTGAGAGGTCAGCATGAGTATAGCCCCATTACCTGCATTTCCCTAATGGGCCCAGCAATGTCCCTAGTAGCTTTTTTTTTGTCTTTTTGAGACAGGGTCTCACTGTGCAGTTCAGGCTGGCCTTGAGCTTACTTTGTAGCCCAAGCTGGCCTCAAACTCGCAACGATCCTCCTGCCTCAGCCTCCAAAGTGCTGGGATTACAGGCGTGCGCCACGGTGTACGGCACTTTAGTAGCTTTTTTTTCTTTAACCCCAACCAAGATTCTACCAGGGATCATACAATACATTTAGTTGTTCTGTCTCTTTAGGTTCATTAATATAGAATAGTTCCCTAGCCTGTGTGTGTGTGTGTGTGTGTGTGTGTGTGTGTGTGTGTGTCTGTGCATGTTAAGATATTGACGTTTATGACATGTACTAGCCAATTCCTTTGTGGGAAGTTCTGTCCATACTTAAACCTCCTCCTAATCATTTCAATAATTGTGTGAAAGCAGTATCACTTTCTCACGTTTATAGACAAGGACATTCCCCAGGAAAAGGGAAGATGAGAGACCCTTACTGAGCACCTGCTTTGTGCTCAGCGCTTGGGCTGAGTGATTGTATTAGAGTTTCACAGCCCCAGGAAGGAAGCAGTGATGAAGGCGGAAGCTCGTTAGCAGCAGGCGCAGGATTTGACCCTTGTGGTCTTTGTCCTCCCTACACTGTCTCCTTGACTCAGGGCCCTGTCTGTATGGGCTGAATTTGAGTTCCTCTCTTCTGTGTGTGTGGACATAAAGGGGAGCTATTTTGGGGAGGCTTCCTGCACACTCCATTGGGTGCTTCTGCTGACGTGCAGCTCAGTATGCAGTTCTCCAGGTTTTCCCCTGAACATGTCCTTGTACCTGTTGTGCTAGAAGCTGCTGGAAGCAAAGCCTGGCTGTAGGCTCCTGCGTCCCTCCTGTTGCCCAGCCCGTGTGTGGGATAGAACAGGTGCCCCCACAGGGAGTAGTGAATGTCGGACTTTGCAAAGTTTTTTCTGACTTTCTGACCTACTCACTTTGCAAAGATGGTTTGAACCCCTATGCCAAAAGGATTTTGATTTTGCCTACTACCAGTTTTGATTAATTTCTATGGTCCACTAGCTGATTTTATAGTTGGCCACAAGGTTGTTTTCAGCAGTGTAAGGTTAAATAATAGTAATGTCTGAGTTTATGCTTCCTGTTTTCTGACCCCTTGAAAGAGGCCTGTTCTTTAGCAGTTTTGAACCAAATTCTATAAATGATGACCCTATTCTTGGCTAATTAGAGCCTGACCTGGGCCAATATGATGCTAGGAGTAGCAGCTGTTTTTAAGAAGGTTTGCAGGTTAATGGAGGGTTAAGCAGAGACCCCATTTGATGTGAGCCCTTGCTGCGGAAGATGCCGAAGCCTCTAGTTGCCTACCTTATTAAGCAGAACATTGAGATCATGACTGTGCCTTTTGTTGTCTCCTCTGTCACTCAAGCGTGATATTCTGCGCAGCACTGGCTGTCACGTGGTTCTGCAGTAGTTGAAGTTAGAGGAGATGCTGACCTCAAGACTTTGTTTGTCATTGCCTCTTTGAATAAAGTATTACTTGCTTATTTCTTATATTACTTGGAATCTGAGACTGGAGCACCTAAGGGGCAAATATGGAATAATTCATCGAAGACTGTCATTATTTGGATTCTGATGAATTTAAATAGTACTAAAGGCTGAATAGGAAAGAAACTTATGAAGTATCTCTTGGGTGTCAGGTTTTGTGCCGTGTACTTGTGTTCTCTTTAAATTCCTCCAGTAGTCTGAATGTGGATGTCTCTGTCCCGATTTTGCTATGAGGAAGCCAAGTCCCACGGTAGCCAGGACCCTTGGCAAAGGCCAACTCGCTCACTAGTTAAGTGGCAGAACTGAGATTTGAACTGAATGTGGGGCCAAGGTCTGTCTGACTTCCACACATCTGTATTTTCTCTTATACTGTATTTTTGCCTCCTAGCAGAAAAAAACTAGCTGGAGAGTTAGGAGGCCCTGGATTCAGTCTGTCTTGATGGTCTGTGTGTTGTGCTGGTTTCTGCTTATGTTTTCGCTGTAAAATGAGAGTGACCATGGTTGGCATAGAGGACTTCGGAGCATCATCGGGCTCGGACTGTGACGAGCCTCTGCTTAAAGGGACATAGTAATGCACTCTTCTGGTCCTCTGCAGGCTGGAAAGAGCAGAGGTAGGCGCTTGAGACTGCATGGGACTCCCAGAGCGCCTGAGGCCCCAGGGAGCAGGCATCCCCTTTAGTATTACTGTCTTTCCTTTATTAAATATTGATGGGCCTAGCACTTAATATTTTCCAAAGAGCTTCAGGTTCATTTCTCCCCTTTTCCTAAACACATTGGTGAGTACTAGTGCTTTCATTTTAGAAAAATAGAAACAGAAAAATGCATGAGGGCTGGAGACAGTCTTTTGGACATTTAGTGTGTGTTCTCACCAAATCTTTGCCGCGACCCCAGGAGAAAGGTGTTTTTTCTAATATCTAGATCTAATGTGCCCCCTAAAGTCTCACGTAGGGGAGGTGACTGGATCATGGGGGTGCCCTGCTCGTCAGCAGGTTCATCACTGACTGGGCGTGGTCCCTGGGGCCGTAGGAGGCTGCATCTCCCTCCCTGGCGTTTCCTTTCACGCTGTGCTCCTGCCTCCTGTGGGCTGAGCAGTGTTTTTCCACCATGCCTGTCTGCCCTGGAGCCAACCAACCATGGACTAAGTTCTCTGACAACTGTGTGCCGAAGTAAAATTTTCCTCCTTTTGGTTGTGGGTACCAGGTATTTTGTTGCAGCCATGGGAAATCTGGCTAATACTGAAGGTAGTGCGTTTCCATCTGATAAATCAAGTGTCAGAAGCTCAGAGGTTCTAATTTGCCCAAGTCAGAGCAACAGTTAGTAAGGAGGCTGGAATTTGAACCTAGCTATACCTTATTTAAGAACCGTTGTGGGGCTGGGGCTGTCGCTCAGTGGTAGAGCACTTGCTTAGCATATGCGCGACCCTATATTCCATCTCCAGTACTATATTCACATGCAAAAAATGTTGGGTTAAGGAGACTTTGACCTTTTTTGAGGCCTTATAATCAGAAAGTATTCCTTCTGCATTCCGCTAGTGGGTCTTTTACATAGGAGGTTTCCCCTGTCAGTCACTGGTGTGACGGAGTCTTAGTACTGTCTGGACTAGCAGTAATTGTGATAGCAACATCAGTGATACCTGATAATTACTCAGCATTTTTTATGTGGCCATCACCACCCTGAACGTTCTATGTTTAATAATTTAATTGATTCTTTCTTACCAATTCCATGCAGCGTCTGAGAGGGTACTGCCCCACCTAATTTACAGATCAGGACGCTGCCCTGAGGGTAAATGCCCAATGCCCTGTAACAACTGGCAAAGCCAGGTTTCAGTCTGACTCCAGAGACTAAGTTCTTAATTTCATTATAGTATGTACTTTCTAAACATACTACCATATTCTTGTTTAATTTTTTCCTCAGGAATCTTTTGGTACCATGCATGTGTGTGCATGTGTATGTGTGTGTACATGTCCACTGGGGATTGCATGAAGGGTTTGGTGCATGCCAGGCACATGCTCTACCACTGAGCTACACCGTAGCACGATGTATGTTTTTATAAGTCCTCCTCCTTCTGGTTTACCACCCGGATTTCCTGGTCTGGAAACTTTGTAGAAGTTGGGTTACAAAGTTCCTCAAGGTACAGGTTGCTAAGGGCATAAAGGTTTAATTTGTGCCTCACTGAACTTCTTCGTTTCTTCTAACTTCTGCCACAAGGTGGCTCTAAGAGTTGGGGCTACCAGGACCTCCGGCAGTGCCAGTCTCGTCCACTGTCTCTGCTCTTCCCCTCAAAATATGGATTCTTAAAAATGACCCCTGTCACCTGTTTAAAGACTATTTTGTCAAATGAAACCCAGGACTAGTCTGTTTATCATCAGCTCCACTGAAATGTCCTTTCTCACAGTAATGTCTTTTCTCTCAGCAGGGTTCTCTGGGGTCTGTGTGGTCGCTGCCCTGGCTGGTCCCTGCCAGAGCCACCTGCTGATCCTAACCACATCATAAGAACTTAATTCCTTAGAATCCCTGGTTAGACAGCCCGGTCGACTTGCTGTAGATCTGTTGTTGACATTCCATATGCATGCTTCCTCTTCTCGTGCACATCCCCAAGGACATCTCCAGGGAATGAATGCCCTCCCTGCTTTTTTGTCATTGATTTAGCCTTGTCTTACTCCCACTGATGGCACAGTACGACCCCAGGAGACATTCGGGCAAGACTTTTAGCCGGTTCAACATACTCTGTACTTAATCAGTTTTTCCTCTTTTGATTGTGAAGCGTCACCTTGTTTCCTTCTGATTTTCCTTAGCTCCAAAACCACCTTCCAATTATACATTACTAAATACAAACATAATAAGGGAAATGTCAACACTCATTTTCCAAATGCTTATGGCCATATCTTGGACTGGCTATTAAGTATTGCACATTAAAATTGACAAAGCAATAAACAAGCTTCCAGGAGGACAGCCTCCGGTGGTGGAAAGCT